TCAAATCTAGACTACGCAACACTCCGCACCGTCATTATGGGGGTGGGGTACTATTACAGTAATTACGGTATGTACTTTTCTTTGAGTACAAGCCACTTTCACATTTAACTACTCCGAGAACCGATTCATCTAATGAAATCGAAATTGCCTTGAATTGAAAGTAGGTAGCCGAAGAGAGCGGCTGATAGGCGATCACATCTCCACAATTGACGTTGTCAACTCCACTATACGTGAACACCCCTTCGTTTCCATTTTGAGCTCCATTGTGCATTAGATAGACACTGAAGAGAGGAGCATCGAGAAAGCCTGAACTTGAGCCTCACCTTAAAGTGTTTCAACACTTTTTTTCGTGTGGGGTTTCAATGAATAAACTCTAATTTCTGTGCAATCATTGAAACATTTGAAGAATTACTTTAAAGTAAACCGCTGTATCTGGGTTTGAAAGCGCTTCAGGAAATATTTGGGAAAAATTTGGGAAAGATTTTCGCTCTTCTGAAACTATAGAGGGAATTTTCAGCTCTAGATTTTTAAAAAAAACCACTTGGTTTTGAGGATTATTGCATAGAAAAAAGATAGAATAAAAGTTTTCTCATGCATAGAAAAAAACTAATTATAACATTTTTAACAAATCCCCTTCATCGAAGACGTTCATCAACGTTCATCAACCGCCAAATTGCTCTTTGAACTGATCGAATCCGAAAATAATTTTCCTTCCTTTTCCTTCCTTTTCATACTAATCTCACTTGCATGGTTTCTCTACAATTTTTTTCTTTTCTTCACAAAAATTTCCCTCAAAGGATTCAAATGAATGTCAAGAAAGTTTCCGAAAAGAAAAGATTCTCAAATATTCGTTTTTCTTTTCCCTGAAACATTTTTCTCAACTCCAATCTCTCGAGGGGATAATCTGCAAATTGCGAATTATGCTTTATCTCGTTTGATCCGTTTTTGTCGACAGATTCTTTTTCTATTTTTCCTATTTCTATTAGCGAAGATTTCCTCTGAGAATAAACCCATTTCATTCGAATTACCAACAAATTTTCTTCATCTTAATCTATTCAAAGTCTTCATCTTCATCTTAATCGATTCAAAGTCAAAGTCGATCAGTCAAATCACATTCAAATCGATTCACATTGGGTAAAAGAATCTTTCTAATATTTCTAAATCTATTCATCCGTTCCCAATTGCTCAATGATGATCGATCCTCTATTGATGTTGGCACTCGGCCCGTCGAGTACTCTATTTGGACATGTAAGTGTAAAAACAATAATGCTTACATGGTATCATCGTAAAACCAAAATCTTACACCAAAATCTTACACGATGTTTTTCTCGGCTAAACTTTTTGAACCCATTTTGTATATGCTATGTGGCTTCCTGTTAAAGCAAAGAGAACATTTTTCCCTTTAGGAATTACCTTGCTAAAAACCTCTGAGCCATGCTTGTCTTGCTCATTTGACTTTCGTAATTGTCGACCCAGGGTGACCCCTGTCGACTCAGGGATTATGGCGACACCTTTTTTTTGAAAAGTTACTGGCAAACTGACTGACTTATTATCAAAGTCTCAAGTGCTATATAGAGAAATGTAGCCCTAATTCTCGGCAACATTTATCTACAACAAACTTCCCGATTGGAATTATACAACTCATTTTACAAGCTCTTGAATGAGCAGGCTCAAGTCGGCCTCTCTCCGGCGATCTGCCATTTTTGACACTTTTTGACACAATATTTTCAATTAGAACGGGATTCTTTTAATTAAACTTGTTCAATATTACTTACCATTCAACAAACAGATAACGCTAGAAGCTTATACAGCAAGTTCTCCTTGGATATTCAACAAAACTCTGTTTTTTCTTTTCTTTTCTTTTTCTAATTCCAAATTTTGGTTATGAAAGTTTGAGAAAAGAGTTTCTCATTCTTATTTTTATTAAATGATATTAAATTTTATTTTCTCACAAAATAAATTTCGAGAAAACTTTTAAACAATTTTATTAAGAAAAGTGTGAAAAATGGCAGGTTGCCGGAGAGAGACTTGAGCTGATTGAAGAGCTTTAAGTTTGATTAAAAGAATCCCCTTCTAGTTGAAAATATTGTGTCAAAAAGTGTCAAAAATGACAGATCGCCGGAGAGAGGCCGACTTGAGCTCGCTCATTCAAGAGCTTGTAAAATGAGTTGTATAATTCCAATCGGTAAGTTCGTTGTAGATAAATGATGTCAAGATTAAGGGCTTTATTTTTCTATATAGCACTTGAGACTTTGATAATAAGTCAGTTTGCCAGTAACTTTTCCAAAAATTTTCCAATAATTTGTAGTCACCCTGTAGAAAATTTGAAATTAACCGCTTGTCACCTATTGAAAGAAGAGCTTAATGGCTTTTTTTACCTATTTGGATCTGCCCTTTTGAACTCTTTTGGATACAGATCTGCTGAAGCCTAGTTGCAAGAAATTATCCATTTAATGAATAGTGTTTTTCAATTGCCATTCAAGATCATTCAATTAAAGTTTTTATAAAAGATGTACAATCAAAGTTTTTGAAGTTTTTAATCAAAAGCTCAAGTTTCATAAACGTTTCATAGACATAAACAAAATTTGTACAAGCAATTTTCGTAACTTAAACTTTTCATAAACAAAACTTGAGTTTTGTAGGCAGTTAACTTAGGCAGTTAACTTAGGCAGTTAACTTAGACAGTTAAGTTAGGCAGTTAACTTAGACAGTTAACTTAGGCAGTTAACTTAGGCAGTTAACTTAGACAGTTAAGTTAGGCAGTTAACTTAGACAGTTAACTTAGGCAGTTAACTTAGACAGTTAACTTAGGCAGTTAACTTAGACAGTTAAGTTAGACATTTTTGTTCTTGATCGATTTGCCCATTTGTTTAGAGTTGAAAAAAGTTCATCCCGATTGGTGATTAAGTGTTTGATTCATTCATCGATTCTCTTTTCTATTCACCTCGATCTCCTTGATTTGCATAAAAAAATAACAAAAGTTCTTAAAAACTTAAGTTAACACCAAAAGTAACATCAAAACTGTACGTCCGTACGGTCCATCGGGGGATTGTATCGTCGTGAATCTGTTAAAAGCACTAGATAAAAGCTAAACAAGTAAAACCTACAAAATTCAGGAGTTGAGCAATGAGTGAATGTCAATTCGCATAAAATTTGGGTTATTTGGTCCAAACTGATAGTGAGTCTATGAGAAAATACAGTACTTTTCTAAAATTTGAACATTTTTGCGCTAGCACATCTCAATGTGCAACGGAATGGCCCACAAAAGGTGTGAGGAGCTGATTCATTCCGTTTTCTCTGTCTCGCGCCCGTTCTGTTCTCTTTTTCCTCCACAAAAATTGATATCACGGCCCTTTGCAGCTTTTTCCTTTTTCTCTTCTCCTTGCAAAGACCCATCGTTGACTCTTTCTTTTCTTTTCTTTTCTTCTTCCTTCTTTCTTTCTTCTCTACATTTCTCTACAACAGATACTTCTAATCCCTTTCAAAGATTCTCTCAGGATTTGTGTGACCGGCCGGAAAGTCTACATTTCCTTTTCCGATCGACGAATCGACAAAAAAAAATGGAGAAGACACAGTTATTGACTCTTTGACTCATTTTTGTGCTAAACGAGAAAAGCTTTGATCTGATTTGAGTGAAATTCAAAAGCAAAACCCATGCAATGATGCTGAGCTTAAAATCAACAGCTGCTTAGGCTTAAAAACAAAGTTCGAATCGTTTTTATAAAGTTAATATTGAAAATAAAGATAAATATTTGAGAAGCTGTCAAATGCTTAAGACTGTTGCACTTTAATGAGAAACGGAAAAGCAGTGTCACTCACTAGATCAGTGAAATTGAAATCTCAGATGCCAGCCAAGAGATCTGGTGCCAGTCAAGAGATCTGGTGCCAGCCAAGAGATCTGGTGCCAGCCAAGAGATCTGGTGCCAGCCAAGATCATAAGTACCACGTATTATATAGGATTTAAAAGCGGAAAATCTCAGCTAGCTCTTTTTTGTGAAAACATAGTTTTAAGTCCTAAAAGGGGATTGGAATGCACCCAAGTCGCGCGTGCACGCTATTTTTCCTGCTATTTTTCTGGATTTTCCAGTTAAAAAGGTTCAGAGAGAAATCTGCTAAGCATGCTTATATCTTTTTTTATCATAATACATTTCTACTAATATTTTGAAATACAAAAAAAACTGTTCTTCTAAGTTGTCGCCATAATTCTAGACTACCCTGTGCTTTGATTTTCATAAGACTCAAACAACATTGGTATCATTTGAAAGCTCGACTTGTCTTCGTTAAAATAATATAAAAAGTTAACAATAATATTATCTCTAAACAAAGTTATAGTTACCTTTAAACAAAGTTTCCTTTAAACAAAGTTACCTTTAAACAAAGTTACCTTTAAACTTTGACTACTCATTCAAAAGCCGTCTTTAACTCCAAAACCCACCTTTAACTTAAAAGAGTCAACATTTCTTTTGAAATAAAAATTGAGATCTGCAAAAACGAAGAAGAGGCAGAGAAAGGGGCGGAGTCAGAGGTGAAGGGAGGAGGAGACATTGATGGATACGGTAACTGAAAGAAGAGAAGAGAAAAGAAAAGAAAGACATTGCTCAATCTAAGCTCTCTTCAGAAGAAATAATCGCTCTTTCACATCAAGACCTCGATCTCTAACCAGTCAAACGCTAAACGCGTTCTTTTGTCCACTAACAATCTCTCCGTCTAGAACTATTAGGGACACCCGACTCACTTCAGCTGTCAATTCCTAAGCAATCTCTACATTGTCACATTGTCTTCTCATCTCTAAACTCTCTTCCAATATTTTTCTATCAATCTTCCCAACAGAATCACCTCACCCAGTCAGCCCTTCGCGATTCATCTGCCTCTTCTTCTCCATCTTCTCCATCTTCTCCTCGTAGTCCCATCCCAAGACACACATTCATCCAAATCGACAAATCATCACCGAAATCATCGATCTGATCACCATCACCATCATCGATTCGATCATCGGGTGAATGTACACCTCCACCTCGTCAACCACATATTTCCCCCCAAACCCATCCACTTCGTCGAGCTCATCTCCGCCTGATGATGACCGGGATGTGCCTTCAACTCAACCACCACCGCAACAACACAGCGTCATCGTTCGACCAGACAATCTTGCCGCTCAACAAATGCTTCAATCTGGGATTCTCGCTGATCGAACCCCGGACACTCCGTATTCGTATTACTCGGAGATCTACGGGAATTTGCCGCTTTTCTTCACTCCCGAGTGGTCGCAAATGGTTGGTGAATTGATTGGTTTTGAGATAAGTGAAAACGGATTTTGCTTTACCCAGCAAGCACAACTTGAAGCATAAAAGCTTTTATGAGTTAAGAACAGCTATCGGAGATTACCGTAACCCTAATTGGTGCTCGATAATGCTGACCCAATGGCAGCGCGATAGGAGTCGACTAGTGCTCATTCAAGGACTTGTTAAATCAGTTGTATCCATCCGATTGGAAGGTTTTTAGTAGAAAAATGTAGACAAGATTAAGGGCTACATTTCTCTACATAATACTTGATACTTTGGAATCAATTTAGCGTGCGACAATTACTTTTCCAAAAAGTTGTCCGGATAGTTTTGCCCAATCCTGGTTTAGTCGGAAAGTCTTGTCCGTATTTTTGAAATTTTCGCTTACAAATGAATAGCTAGCCGATAAAATGTGTGATTTTCTTTAAATAAAAGATAAATAAAAGATATCTTTAAAAAGATTAACTACCGTATTCTCTCTAATAGTAGTACACCCTGAGCGTTGCCTAAATTGCTCGAAATCTCGAAAACCGCTTATCAGAACCTATTGATGTGGGGTCGGGAAAGTGTAGCTGACGATGAGATCTTGTGGGGGATTTGAGTGTTGAGCTTCTGCAAAAGCTTGAAACCCGTAAAATAGTCATCAACTCGGCTCGGCGGGGTACTTCATTTAGCTGAGGCAAATTTGAGTCCACTTTGAAGCAAATCCGAACCGAAATTCGCGAGCTTTTTAGAACTTCTTAAAGAAAAATTTGTAAATAAAGAATAGGGCTTTTTGATAAAACAAACAGATCGATTGGTGTATTATTTATTTTAAAAAAAGCAGACAAAACCTTCCGAACCTGATATCTCTGACTGTAAAATCACAGTCTCTTACTTGTTCCATTGTGTTTAACCGCTTTTGTTTAAAAAGTTAAACAGTTTTTGGTTAACTAAGATCAACAAATTAATTTCTGTTTTCCCTTCAATATTTAGGTGAATATTTAAATCAAAAACCTAACAATTCTCTCAGTTTTATCTTTCGAAAAATCATTGACCTTTCTCCTGTCAAAAATGGATTTTTCTCCTGGGAACAAATTGATTTCAGCCTGACAAAAGAGCAAAAATTTTTAGATGAAAGATTAGATAAAGAAAGCTGAAAAATTGAAAAGCTTAACAATAAAAGATTGGAGAATCCATTTACGCTCAACAAAATTTTGAATGAAATCGAGAGTCCAAGCAGAAGCAATACTGATTTTAAAAGAAAGAACTTGATCCTTTAGAATCCTTTTAAAAAAAAAATGTATAGATTTAGTAAAAAAATTTGTCAAAAGACTTTAGCTTTGAATCTTTCGATCATTCTTATATATTCTTGGTCTGATTCAGTCTCTTTTCAGTCTCTTCCTCTCTTTTCTCTCTTTTTTTTTCCTCTTCTGATTCTTCAAAATCTGATTCAGAGTTTTATCACCGATGATTGATATCCGATTGGAAAAATGGGAAAGGATTTACAATGTTGAGTGAATTGAGTAAGATTTGTTTGATGAAAAGTAGTGTTTATGCTAAAGTCAGTCATCAGAACAGATAGGGTAGAGCTTTTACAAGGGCTGGCTGGCTTTTTGTCTGCACCTTGACCAAGACCAAGTCCATCTTGTGGCGGGATCTTGAATCCGTTCTTAGTCTTTGCAGAACGCTGCAGAAGGCGAGATATCTTAAGAAGACTCCTTAAGAAGCCATCACACGCTCTCGCAACGGCCGCTTCTAGTGGATAGTCAGCTAGGCAACTGGTCTAGTGGATAGTTAGCTAGGCAATTGGTCTAGTGGATAGTCAGCTAGGCAATTGGTCTAGTGGATAGTCAGCTAGCCGACTGCACCTGTTACATGTTCTTCCGCTCAGGTTCAAGTCCCACTCTGGCTAAACATTTTTCTACCTTTTTCAAAAACTATTTCCCTACGTATTTGCATTGAATTATTGTCTCGAGTTTTATCCACCGCTTTCTGTAACGTCAACAAATGATTTACAAAAGCCGGTATCAGAAGGATCAGAAGTATCGGAATCAATAGATAAATATTGAAAATTTAACATTTTTTGTCACATTTCTGCAAGCTACAGGCGATATTTAAAGTTAAATTCAACTCAATTCTTCATTGCAAATACGTAGGGAACTCTATTGTTTATTGCAAATACGTAAGGTAACAATTTTTTTAAAGCAGAAAAACATTTGGCGACAGTGGGACTCGAACTTGAGAGCAAAGAGGCAATCGGTTGACGCTTGACTATCTAGTGGATAGTCAAGCGGACTATCCACTAAACCACCGAGGTAGTTGAGCGTATGGCAGCCTCATAAGAAGCTCGAAGTTCAAGGTGATTTTCTATGCCAAATCTCTCGAGTTTGGGAAGCGTTCTGCAAAAACTAAAAACGGATTCAAGAGCCCCATGGCCGACTCTATAAGATGGGCTTGGTTTCGAGTCAAAAAGCCAGCTTGATTCGGTGCCTTTTCCTTTTCTATAAACAGATAAACAGTAAATTAGAATGTAGTCCAGATTTTCGAATTGGTACTATTAATTTGAGTCCAAAAGGTTGGTACAATCAAATCTCAAGACTTCTAGTAAATATAAATAGTGCAAAATATCATGCTTTATCGCTCTAATACTAGCCAAGCAGCCAAGCAAGCCAAGCAAATCTACATGTATATCTTTATATCTTTTACAATTTTCCAATCGATTCTCCTACCTTTTTCCCGTTTTTCTTTTACCTTTCCCCATCTACCGTAACCCTTGACAAACCCCAAAGAAATGCCTCTTCCTTTTCCCTTTTTCAAACGAAAAATGGGCTCTCCTGGCCCGCCAAAATATCGGCCCCGTTTTCTTCTAATCAAAAAAAGAAAACGAAGAAATTTTGCTTTCGATTTTCCTTTCGATTTTCCTTTCTTTTTTCCTTTCTTTTTTTCCTTTTTTCCTTTTTTGGGTATCGAAGAAAATGTTGCGATCCGGCATCGGCAAAAAATTTACGCCACATCTAAAAGACGCCGAATAGGTAAAGAACGGATGAAAAAGGAGGAGAAAAGGAAAAGAATGGCATTTATTGTAAAGAAACCATGCAGTGAATGAATTGGATTTGAAACAAGACACAATTCAATCGGGATTTCTAGAGATATCTTCCTAGAGAAGGTAACAGAAGAAAAGCTAAAATGTGCTTAAACTAAATATGCTTTTTGAAAGTCTCTAGCTTAATATTCTTAAGTTATATAGATAATTTATTCAGGACCTGAGATAAAGTGCGCTAGATTTAAGATTAAAACACATGAATTCATACACAACACGAAAAGGGCCGATCAAAAGCAACACGATATAATAGATGTAATATATGGGTAGCGCAGATAACATCAAGAATCCACTAGAGCTTCAAGATCAAGATCATCTACAGATAATTTAAAGGTTTCAAGACTATTGGACTCTCTCAAAACTCTGGGGACTCAAAACTTTGGGGATTCCAAATTCTGGGAGCTCTTATTGGAAAAGAGTTATAAACAAACTTATTGGAGGTGACTGGAATTTCTAAAACGAAAGAACCTCTCCTTGAACTAACCGTGGGATTAGTTTGAAAAAAATTTTAATATAGTTGTGCAATTTAATATAGAATAATTCAAAAGGCAAAACGGCACCACAGGGGTCGACCCGGGCTGACAGGCGCGACACGGGGCCGTAGAAAAGCGCGCTCCCGACTGTGCCATGGTGACAAGTGGCGGAGACCACCGTTAGACGGCTTAAACGCGTTAGACGCCGATTCCCACTAAACTTGAGTATTTTGATTGTTTTTGGTTTAACAGGGTGCAGATCCACGTCAAGGATCCACTAGAGCTTCAAGATCAACATCATCCACAGATAATTTAAAGGTTTCGAGACTATTGGACTCTCTCAAAACTCTGGGTAGTCGATTCCAAATTCTGGCAGTTCTTATTGGAAAAGAGTTATAAACAAACTTATTGGAGGTGACTGGAATTTCTAAAACTAAGAATTTCTAACGAAAGAACCTCTCCTTAAACTAACCGTGGGATTAACTTTGAATAAATCTTGAAAAATAGGGATAGGTTGCCTGCCCTTTACAATTTTGAAACATTCTATTAAATCCGTGACCAAGCGGCGGTGTCTAAGAAATTTAAGATCAAAAATTTTGAGTCTATCTGTTTAACTAAAGTATGCAAATTTGGAAAAATTTATTTTCCATAGAGCTACCTTAGTATATCTCTGCTGAATTTTTTCTAGGCGAGAGATATCAACTTGTGTATGTGGAGATCAAACTATAGATGCATACTCTAGAATGGGTCTAACGTAAGTGATGAAACACTTTCTGCAAGTGTGTGAAAGCTTCTGTTATGTGAAAGTTTTGGAAGAAAAAAAAATGAAAAGAAACCATGCTGTGAATGGATTGGATTTGAAACAAGACACAATTCAATCGAAATTTCTAGAGATATCTTCCTAGAGAAGGTAACAGAAGAAAAGCTAACATTTGCTTAAACTAAACATGCTTTTTGAAATTCTCTAGCTTAATATTCTTAAGTTACATGAAAGTTTTGGAAGAAAAGGTATTAGGTTGGAAAGAAAGTTCTCGGGAAAAGTTTGACTGAAATTTCTTCAAAAACGAATCCACCAATCCAAGAGCACTTTGTTCTATTATTTACAAGTCAACTCCAAGAAATTAAAAAAAAACAGATGAGTGCAGCTTTCATTTAAAATTTTAGAGATTTTAGAAAAATTATTATTTCCCAGCTTAAATTCAGCTCACTTTTTGCACGAGAAAAAGGATTCCTTATGAGGTAAAGCTAGCATAAATGAGCAATCCGCTCTATAAACTCTATTTTTGGCCAACAAATTTTTTACATAGATGCTGTATTTCAGAAAAATCATTTTTTGGTGTCATGTTCTTGGCACCGAGTGTTTGCTAAAATAGGTGATTCTGAAAAGTTAAAGCATTAGATCAAATTTGCCTTGATCGCAAATTTTCCTTGTTTTAAGTACTTTATTTTGGGTTTTGAATGGGACCCATTGCCTATTCATTAACCCAATAAAACTTTGTCTAAAGGCTGGCCACTCAAAAAGTGTCCAAGTTCCTTCAGCTGAAGAAATCTCTTATTTTTTACCTGAAGCCCACTCTGATTTTTTGTCAAAAACTTTTTTAAATATAGTCAAGTTTAGCAAAAAATCTGAGAAGAATTGAAGGTTTGGTTTTTGAGAAATCACCGTGCAAACTTTTTCCGAGAACTTTCTTTCCAAGAACTTCCGAGAACTTCCGAGAACTTTCTTTCTTTCCATTGTGCCATTAGAAAATAATGCACTTTACTTTACTGACTTTGTCGATAGCTGAAAAAGCACTTTTTACACAAGATAATATCAGAATCGTGCATAAGTCTTTGCTATTTTTTTCCAAACCTCTTTTACAAATAATGCCGCCACGAGCAAAATTTCTATTTAAACGATTAAAAAGCTTAATTGTTTCTCTGCAAAATGACTTTTGGGAAATTCTTGTAAATAATTGTTTTTGTCGATTTTCAAAGGCGCAAAGGCGACCACCTAAAACTGCTCCGATGCCAAAACTGCTCCAATTTGAACACTTTCTTAAATACAAACCTATTTTGGTGCCAAAGTAAAAAAGATAGAGCTCATTTGCTTACACAAGTCTGCAAAATTTGAAAACGATTCATCTAGTCATTTTCTTTAAAATAACAATCGAAATTCTTACAGAAAAATGCATTTTGGCTGAGTTAACTGAGTTAAAGCGAGCTTTAAGCTTTCTTTTAAAAGGAATTTTGTAGAGAAACGATAATATTTTATAGTTTAGGACGCAACAGACTTAGTAAAGAATTCTTTTTCATGAAAACAAAAATTTGAAAAAATTGTAAAAACCTAATAAGTAGAGCCTTTTTTTGACTAACAAACTTTCAAAAACTACCGTAATCATTTTTGTATCTTTTGTGAAGCCTTAAAGAATCGATTGAAAAGCGCATGAACTCTTTATCGGCTAATCGTTCAAACAGGATCAATCCCTTTTCTTTCAAGATGGTATTTGACCGGATTACAGAGTGTAACAAAGCGGTGATTTCCTTTTGTATATTGAGAAGATTCAATTCTGTTTGATCCATCTTTCTTTTTCTTTCTTTCTTTTCCTTCCTTTCTTTTCCTTCCTTTCTTTTTCTTTCTTTCTTTTTCTTTCTTTCTTTTCCTTTCTATTACCTCTCTTTATTTGTCCACAGACTTTTGTAGCACTAATCGTCGTTCAAGGGATTTCCCACACCTTCGAAGAAATTTCTTTCAACTCACCGATCCAATAAGGAAACTTGAATCAGAGGGATAAGCAGGAAAGCATAAAAGTACAGGATACTTTTAAAACAAGCAAAGAAAATATTCAGAAAACATGACTGAATAGTTAAAAAGGTTATTTTTGAAATCTCGATTATTCTAAGCCTCATTGTCAGCAAAATGTCAGCAATTATTTTAAAATATTCTAAAATGCCTGCTGAGCTGAATCTGAACTTGCAAAATCAATAGCTTTTTTGATTTAAGAATCAAATTCTTTTAAAAAGGCTTTAAAACGCAAAATGTCGGTCAAACCTTGAACCTTTTAGTCTATCCAACAAGTTTAAATCTTTACAATTGTAAATCTATTCAATGATTCATATAAATAAAAATAGAAACCAAAAGAGAAATCTGCAAAAAAAAAGAGCTGGACAGAAAGGGGATTAAAAAAAAATGATGATTCACCTCAATCCTCCCTCCTTTCTCCCTCTTTCCTCTAAAAATGTTCCAAAAATTTGACCAATCTGTGTAAATAGGAATAAATAACATAGAAAATGAAATCTTTTCACTAAATAATTACAATTATTTAGTGTAAGAGAGAAAAGAGAGAGATCTCTTGTAAGAGAGAAAATTCAAGTTCAATTTTAGATTTCAACTCTTGTTTTGCTTTGGATTTAGATTCTCTTTCCAAAGTCTAACTTTTGATTGAATTAGTTATGAAAAAGTAGATCTGTTTGTTTGTTTATTAGTATGTTTTATTGGAAATCAGACATTATTGTGTTAAAGAAATCAGACAATCACAAAAATATTACTTCCAAGAATGATCAACAAGTGTGAAGCGAACAAACGTGACTCATTATAGGAAAAGTTTTATTTCAAAGACATTGTTGACTAGTTTAGATAGAAAATAATCAATAAAACAAGGATCTGTAAAACTTTCTATAGCAGCAAGCAGCAAAAAAAACCGCAATAAGCCTTTGGCTAAATATCCGTAAAACTCTGCAAGAGTTCAATCGATTCCAGAGATTGAATCGTTAGCTTTATCTTAACGATACAATTACTTTATTACACAAAATGCAATCAATTTGCTAAGACAACTGAAGCAATGCTAAGGCAACTGAAGCAATGCTAAGACAAGTGAAGCAATGCGAAGACAACTGAAGCAATGCTAAGACAACTGAAGCAATGATAAGACCTCTCAAAAGTGATCCATAATTATAGGTGCAGATAAAAAGCTTTGTAGGTAGACAAAATTAAACTTTATAGAGCAAACTTTTGTTTTAAAATCTTTATTGGATATCAATGAAGATCATTAATGATATCATTAACGATTAAATTCAAAGCTATCACCATTTTTAGCCGACCACGTTGTCAAGCGTTTAGAAAAGGCGTCCACGGTGGCGTAAGCATCACCTACCGTAAATACTGTAAAAGTAGCCCACCCCCATAATGACGGTGCGGAGTGTTGCGTAGTCTAGCTTTGAACGAGTTTTTCTCGACACTGATTTATGCTACAATGCGCGCTTAGGTATCAAAAAATAGCCCTGAATTTTAGCTATTTTTTGATACCAAAGACGCATTTTTTGAAAGTACAGGTGCTTTGAAAGAAATGAAATACTAAAAATCTTTTGTGACTACGCGACTGTACGAGGGGGGTGGGGTACTATTACAGTATTTATTACAGTAGTATACAGTAGTAAGCATCATCGAGTTCATCCCAGACTTTCAGAAGACTTTCTTCAAACTTTCAATCATTTTTATGCAGTTTTGAGCAGGCTTTTGCCTCAAGGATGTACCAGAAAGAATACCATCGGATTGAGATCCGGCGAGCTAAATCCGGCGAGCTTATCATTCAGAAAAAGAGATAAAATCGAGAAACTTCATAAAAATCTTGAACTTTCTTGGCTTTGTGGACCGGAACCGGTCTTTTTGGAATGTTGAAATTTGATTTTTTGAAATCCTTTTGTACCCAGTGGAAAATTTCAGCTTTGAGGAGATCGAGATATTTAATAATAATAGAAAAAAAAGCCACTGCACCTATAATTATAAACTTTTGTAGTCTTTGCTCATTCATTCGAAGCCTGTGCGAACTGTAACTTTAATATTTTGTCACAGTCAAGTCAAGTCAAGTGTCACAGTCACAGTCACAGTCAGTCAGTCAGTCTTAAACGTATTTCTTTAGTCAAACAGTCAAAATGAGAGTTTAATGCTATCAAAAGATGAAGATGTATTGAGCAGTCTTCGAAGCAATTCATTTACATTGTATTTATAACCCCAATGACACAGCTAAGTAATTTCTAGTTTCAGTCATCTTTCCCCCAAAAAAACAGCACTCAAATAGAAGGTAGGGTAAAAAAAAGAGAAAGAAAGAAAGAAAGAAAAGGGTTAGACATAAACTTTCCTCCATATGACTCACAGAACCCAGCATTTCTTTTACCTTTTACCCACCTTTTCCCCTTTCAACCTACACTCAGATCTCTCTTTTATCGAAAATTCCTTCAATTTCCTTCGCTCTTTGAGATAAATGAATTGTCTCTCTTTCCAGTTCACCCAATAGAGAAACGGTAGAGAAATTTGACGTCAAAGATGTCAAAGTATTGCTAAAAAGATCTTGAATCTTGAAGAAAAGAAGAGAAAACTAGAAAATAATATGAAAAGATTAGAGAAAACGAAAATTTGCTAGAGAAAAAAGCTGAGAAAAAAGCGCAGAGAGAGATACCGTAGTTTGGCGAATCGGTTCAAGTTTCTCAAAACATTGACCTAAAATTTTCCCAATAATTTTAACTAACATTAAAAGCTTATTTCAAGAAAGATCTAGATATTCACTGTTGAACAAAATCTAGTTGTGTGGGTGGCTGGAGAATTACTCATCATACTCTCCTCCTTTTTTTCCTCACACAAAGCGGTGACACATTGGAACGCTTTATTCTCTGTTTTCTCGTTTTTTCAATCTCGATTTCTCTCATTTCTATTCATTTTTTGAACTATTTCTTTCTCAATATTCGAAGTCTCTTTTTTTTCTAAAAGCTTGCAGTGATTTGTTGCAACACTCACACAATTTTACTTGTCTTGAGCAAGAGCGCTTGAAATCGAGCCAGATTTCTCAAATTCCTTAAATTCCTTGGCTTTTGATTTACGGATATTCAGCTAACGGCTTACTGTAGCTCTCGGGATTTGGATTTCTTTCGCTCATTCGTTGAAGAAAACTTGCTCAAGAAAGTCTGGGCTTTATTTTGGATACTCAGAATTTACTCTATCTATTCAGCTGATTCAGTTTTAAATTTGCTAGAGATTTTCTATTCAATTGATTCAAAAAGTTGATACTTTGCACAGGTTTTTCTATTTCAAAGCTTGGCAAAAAGGGGATCATTTGTTGCATTTTGGCTGTCATTTTTGGCCGTCATTCTTGGCTCAAAATCCAGATTTGCTAAACGTTATTTATTTTTAAAAAATCTATTCTTTCAAAACCTATTGATTTACGGATATTCAGCTAACAGCCTACTATTCCATTTTCATCAAATCTTTCCTTGAATCGTTTCCTTTTCTCGATTCAATTTGTGCTTTCCATTTCTGCCCATTTCTGCCCATTTCTGCTTGAATTTCCTTCTCTCTTTCATCAATCAATCAATCCTTTTCTCAATTATGATTCATCAAGATATTCAATTATTCCAATCTTTATAAAATATTCGAAACAAAGACTTATCAAAAACCGTATACGAAAGAAAGAAATCGAGTCAAACTGAAGCCGTTATCGCCTAGAAATTTTGCTTATTTCAATATGTCAGCTGGTAAAGAACCACCCAATTGGTGGAAAGAACGGGAAAAAGAAAGAAGAGGAAAAGAAGAAGCAGAAGAAGAAGACGAAGAAGAAGAAGAAGAACTGAGTGATTTGCCGGAATTGGATGATTTTGATCCCGATCAACCGTCAACGAGCCATCAATACCCGATGTTTCCTCCAAATTTCCACCAATTCGCGCAATTCCCGCGAATTCCCGATCGAAATCTGCCCACCCAGGTGCCGTTTCCGCAAAATTACACCCAACGAGCGATTTTCCGGCAAAACTTATACAATGAGCCGAAGCAGCAGCCGAATTCGAGCTTTCAACAACGTCACTTTTCCCACGATCAACCTTTTCCACAAGATCCTCCAAATCGACCATCAACTTCTCAGATTCTTTCACTCCCGCCGCCTCAATCAATTCAATCAATTCAATCAATTCAACCGATTCAACGGCTTTCTCACGATTTTCAACAAGATCTCAAAGAATCACCTATTTCCACTCCTTTATCTTCTACCTCAACAACTCCATTTTGTGTCTCACCCCGTCCCTCATCAAAATCCCCGTCTCGTTTCGGGAAAATGTTGAAACGCTCGGATTCGATTAAGCCACCGCCTGGGTTTCAGGTGAAAATTTCGTGCTTTTCTCGTCTTTTCGTATTCAAAATAGTATGATCTACTAGTATAATAAATAGTATAATCTCGAGCAGTAGCTGTATAGAAGAGCATTTTCCGTGACCAGCGAGTTCCCGACTGCGCCACGGTGACAAGCTGAACAGCCCCGGGTTTTCCAGCTGATACTCTAATAGAATACCACCCCCACAATGACGGGGTTACTGTCGCCTAGTCTAACTTTAAACGTCCCATTCTCCGCACTGGTTTAAGCTACAGTGTTCGTTTGGTAGTCGAATGATAATCCTTGAAATCTACTATTTTTTCGTACCAAAAGTGTAGTTGGGAAAAATCTAGAGGCCGAGAAAGAAATGATTTTCTAAAAAGAAGTTAGACTACGCGATTGTACGCGACTATTAGAGTATTTACGGTATTATAATATATTAAATAATATTATGTCACAAACCAATCCATTTATTTCTAGACTTCTAGCTGATTTATGAGAGTTTTGGGGAGTTGTAGAATTTCAAAATATTTTAAACAAGGGTTCAAAATTCTCGAACAGTCTATAGCTTCAAGAAAGTCTTGCTCAGCTAAGTCTACAGCCTCAAGAAATCCTGAGATCTCGATCTTTTTCCACCTTTTTTCCCCTTTTCCAATCTGCAAATTCGATCGAAAAACGATTATTTTTGCATTTTCCTTCTTTTCTATCCCCTTTTTGGAGACAAATTTTTGGGTGAATCACCAGATATTTACCCCTCAAACAATGACGTTTTAAAGCATCATGAGCACTTGAAAGCATCTCTAAACTCTCTAAAATCACCTAAAAAGGTCAAAGTACGAATTTTTTTGTACAAAATAAACTTCTTGACAAAATTGACTTCAATTTCTTTTCAAATAAATATCACATGTGTTTTAATAGTGAAAGAATTCCTTTTTTTGAGATTGGAATCTTTTGAGTCTTTTGAGACAAAATCATTAAACGAAAGAGGAAAAAACGTGGATTTTTCAGCGCTTTTTTGATAAGAACCGAAGCTTTTTACCGTTTTTCACCAACTGATAACAAAGAAAAATGAGCAGATTGCTTTAGGGATTCAATCCGCAATTTTCAATTGTCTAGAATTCAAAAAAATTGGCTATTTTTGGGATTTGGAGACACAAAATGCTTACGGTAAGCTGGCGGGTGCTTTTATAAGCTGAAAATCAAACCTCCTTGAATATGCTTGAATGAAAAGTGCTTGTTTACCTAGAAGTCTTCAAGTTTGAAAGAAAAATGAGCCGTCAATCATTCGAAAGTTATGAATCTTCAATAAAACCGTTTTATCACTACAAGTTTCGGGGTTAGTACTGTGCTTAGTACTAGACTAGGCGGTTAGTATTGTGAAAAGTCAGCTAAACCGAATGGTATGTTACTTAATTCTTAATTAAAGATTTTCGAGTTTAGAAATCATTTTTGAACTTTTAGATCACACCCACCGATCCGATCTTTCGGCAGCTGGGACCAGCCTATCCGGGACCGGCTTTTGTTCCGCCACACCCGCATCCATACGGTTTGTAAAAGAAATTTCAAAAAAATTTGTGAAAGCTTTAAATGATGTGGTACAAAGTGAAGTGATGATGAGTGAAGTGCTTTAAATGATGTGGTACAAAGTGAAAGCTTTATTCACACGAATAATGTGGTACAAACAATACACAAGTACAATCCCTAAGTCTTAAATGTATGGAAAAACTATATATAGGAAAAAGAACCAATGATCTAGCTATCGGGATTGAACCCTTAACCTCCCGACTAAGATACAGGGCTCTTAGCCAGTCGGCCTGGGTTTGTGAAAAAAGAAAACACTTACCAATTCCCTTTTCCATTCACCGTTTGATCTCCTTGATTTGGATAAAAACGAGTTCTTTATATGATAACAAGAGACGACGACGGTTTTTTTGAGCAAACAGTCGCCTAGTCGTCACTGATTTACTAAGAATTTTATGAATATTCAAAGATAAATTAAACTTTTATAGTCATTTGACAACCCTAAATCTTCTTTTGAAAACTAGAAAAAAGTTATCGAGAACTTTCTGCGAAGTATTACCTTATCTATTTTTTTTCAGAGTATCCACCAAATATTGTGATGCCAGCTCGGCGAACAGGAGGAAGACGACCCAAAGAAGAAATGCAAGTGAGTAAATGGGGGAAAAAGAATGGGAAATAGATTAGAAAAAATATGAAGTTTGGCAAAGATACGAAAAAGTTCATGCTTCGATTTGTTGATCAAAATAATGTTGCCATGGGGTTACGGGGGGTCAGTTTTGTGCAATCGGAGCTAAAAAGATCAGCTTTTCAGGCCAGTTTCAGGCTTGAAACTAGCTGAAATACTCAGCGCTTTTTTGACGAGCATTTCAGCTAGTTTTGGTTTAGCAGGATGTAGAATTCTAGTGAAAATACAGCTAAATTTGGGGTAGAAATTGTTCCCAAAAATTTCGGCATAGTGACGCCAGAAAGCATTTTTGCTTGATTTTGACTGATTTTATCAAAAGTTGATTTTGTCAGACTGTCAAGTTGTAGCTCTGGTAAACACTCGTTTTCTGGCACACTTGATCTCCGGTTTGAGTTTAAGCGGGTGTCAGGAAGGATATGTTTGTCGGAGCACAAAGAACAAACTGGATTTGCTCCAGAAATTTGATCAATTTAAATAATTCGAGTACCCTAAAGTCGCGAGTATAAGTTCTGTTTGGTTTTCGCATGCAAATTGACGGCTGTCTCCGGTGCGGTGTGTCGAGGGTTCGAACCCCGCTGCAGCATAACTTTTTTGCTTTTTAAGAACAATAATAGAAGTAAATTTATTGAGGGTTATAGCAATTTTATGCTGTTATTTGTTGCTCCGGGCGTGGCTCGTCTCTCTCGCGATCATCGCGTCCGCCCTGCTCCTCTCCGGTGCTCAGTCTTATGGATCCCTCCCTGGCCTCTTCATCCGGCCAAAGTCCACGTCGACGGTCGAAAGAGATGCTTTCCAGCGTCTTCTTCAACACTATCGTCTGGATGTATCCATGCACATAACAAATAGCAATGGTGATAGGCTGTCACCCTGTAGTATCCCGCGCTCCAAGAACAATAATAAAAGTTTATATAACAATAAAAATGTATAAAAACCCAACAAAAAGAAATTCAAAGCAATTAAAGCGAATGTAAATTAAGGCAGAACTTATACTCGAGACTTTAGGGTACATTGAATCATCAAATCCTGCAAAACTAAATTGCAAAATTATGCAAAGCTTGCCTCAAAAAAACTCTAAACTTCTCAGATTTACAATGCCCACTTTTTACTTGTTTTCCTTCTCTCCTCACAAAGTGTCAAGCTGTAGCTCTGGTAAACACTCGTTTCCTGGCAGTTCCCCTTAAGTCTTCCTCTCATAAAACATTTCCGGAGCTTCTCCCAAAAATATCTTATCTTTCTGAAATTTTCTTTTCTTCTTTTCTTCTTTTCTTCTTTTCTTCTTTTCTCGTCTTTCTTTTTTCCTAAACAAACCTCGCCGACCCCACCCATAAGCTAAACTTTAAGAAATGCAAAAACGAAGAAAAAAATGGCGCTTTCTTATCAAAAACGATGGCGTTTCTTCGATCGAAACTTTAGGTGAAGAAAAAGAATTTTTTTTTTTTACAGAAATTGATAAGAGTTTCACTCGAAGCTTGAACGTCGTTTTATTTGAATTCTTGGTTCACTTTCTATCATAAAGATTGAGATTTTCATTTGTGATCACCGATTTCTTTGAAAATTATCATTCTTGAATTCCAAGCTTGTTTACTGATGCTTTGAAAGTTTGTTCTGATGTTTGCTGAAAATTCTGCTTGAAAATTTGTTCTGATCTTTGAAAATTCATAAATTCTAAGATTTTAAGGACTTTTTTGTATCGGGCTTTATTCACTGGATCCCTTAAATCAGTCGACTTTCTCAAATCATCTACTGTACTATTTGATCTCGATCCCCTTCTCTCCCCTTCTCTCAAAACGAACCACAAAAGATCGTTTAGCCCAAAATTTGTATATGGAAGAAAAGAGAAAAAGAAAGGTTCCCCCTTTTTCTATTTGCTCGACAAGGAAAATTTATGTGCGTTTTGAAAGCGGAAAGGGGTTTTTAGATGAAAAGAGAAAGGAAAAGAAGGGGAAATGGGGAAAAGAGGGGAAATGGTCGATTGGATACCGTCAATATATTTCATATAGCTTCATATGGTATCGATGTGAATAAGAGAAACTCAGAGTGAAGATCATACTTTGATAATCTTTTGATTAGTTCCTGAGAAAGCAGGGACACTTTGGCACTTTTTAAATAGTAATTCGAGAACTGAGCTAAGCGCTGGTGCTCCTGATTGATTGAAGCGCTTTTTGAAGGAATCTATTCTAGGAAACTACCATAATCGAACAGCAAACTGACAGTTTTCATTTAATTAGTCGAATTTTGGTTATTTCACTAGTTGATCCTTGTGATTGCTCGTCGAACGATACAAAAATTGGGATAGTTAAATGAAAACTAGAAGCTTGATTACGACAGTTTCCTAAAATAGATTCATTTTAGCGTTCCAGTGTCCGGATTTTCACATTTCTTCATAATTCTCTTATTTGATTCAAGTCCATTTTGTCTTTTTTCTCAATTTCATTACCGTTAGAGTCATTGACTTCAATCGAGATGTATCAATGCATTATCAATGCAAGAAAATCCAAGAAAAGCTAATCCAACTAAGCAATAATGAACCTTAGCAATGATTTTTAGGCATTTCATGCAAGAATCGAAGAAATAACTAAGCAAGAATGCTTGCTAAAAGATCAGATACTAAAAATAAAACGTTAAATTGTTTAAAGTTCTAAGAATTTGATCTAAATTCGAAGAATTTTATCTAAATTTGAAGAATTTTATCTAAATTTAGTTCAACGGTATTATCTAGTCTAAAAAGTTTTACAGTTTTCGTATAAGTTGTTTTACAGTAACCCGATTTGACTATTTTACTTGAATTGTATTCAAATTTACTGCCGGTTCAACGAATTTCCCTCCAAAATTCGACTTTCCTTGCAACTCTCCGCTATTCAAACAAATTCGAAACATTGATGGCTTTCGTTGATAAGAACACCCCTTTCCCCTTTTCCTTTCCTTAAATTTGTGGGCGATGCATGCTTTTTCTCTTTTTTATAACTTTCACCTTTTTCTTTCTTTCTTTCTTTCTTTCTTTCTTAATCTTTTTTCTGAAACGGAACTTTTACCTTTTTTTTATAAAAAATCCGGTGTTTGCTTTGAGAGCTAAAAATTCCTGAGTTTCATTCAGTTTCAAAAGGTTATTCTTGAGCGTTACCCTTCTAGCTTTGACCTAGAATCGATATGATTACTAAATTTATTTTATCTTTTTACATTTAACCATCAAAGCTCGTTTGTTATTTACTTTCTAGCTCACAATCAGCTCAGCCAAAATTTGTCAATTGATAACTTGTCAATTGATTTTGCAAAGGATATTCGATCACAGATATCGAATTTCATTGATTATCAAATCTCTTATTCTTATAAAAGTTTCTTTTTACTTTAAAACACTAGATCTTTGCGATCTTTTTCTGATTTTGGTTAACATCTACAAAAAGATCCAGAGCTACACTACTGGACAATGAAATATCATATTTGAAAAAACACTTTCGCCCTTTCGCGCGTCTGTAACTCCCTTGTCTTTACCGTATTTCTAAATATTAATATTACCATTGTGTAGCCCTTGAAAAGAGCTTTCAGAAAATGTATAACACTAATAGTTTAAACTCAAAGACAAGGGAGTTATAGACGCGCGAAAGTGACGATCGTTTTTCAAATATCATATTTCATTGTCCAGTACTGTAAATGCAATGCCAATCGTTTACCTCAATACCTAAATTTCTCCTCAAAAAACCATGTGATTGTTCCATTTTTGGTCGACAAAAGTGAGAGCTCTTTTCCATTCTTTCACTTTTTTCTTTTTCCTAAAAAAATACCCGCCCCTTTCTCTTCATTTCTCTTTTGAATCGGATTTCGAAATCGTTTCCCCGTCAATTCCACCGCTCACTCTTTCATTCGATCCCCACTTTCGTCAGATCTCTTTTTGTTTACATAATAAAAACAATACTGGCTCTTGTTCAACTAGCTTTAAATTTACATATTAACAACAAGAAGTTGTGGCTTTTATGACTCTTTTTACTTTTGAGCGAATATGAGTGCATCAAAACGACCCTTTCTACAGATATTCCTTCATTGCTCAATCATTTCCCACTTTTTTTCCCATTTTCTTACTGATTTTCGATTCCGAGAACTTTTCTCATTAATATTATCACTTTTCTATTATCGCTGATCTCTTTTCTTTTTTTATTTTTGTTGCTTAATGTTTTTTTTTCAAATCAGCTCAAATTTATCTTCAAATCAGTAAAGTTTTGCAAGAAAATGTTTTTGAAAGTTTGCCGTAGATTCAATAGAGAGAGACAGATTTCAGTTAGGCTTTAAAAGATCGATCTTTAGATTCTTTTCTTTTCTTTAGATTCTTTTTCTTTTCTTTAGATTTCTAATTAGATTTAGATTTTTAGACACCAGTACTATTGTTTCTGCACACTTTAGTATCAAATTAAAGTAGAGAAGATCTTTATCTTTAAATCTAAAGAGGAATAATCGATTATTTTCTCAGTGATTCATCACTTTTAATACATAAAGATATTGTTTTTATAGATAACAAATAAAATAGAAAAATAGAAAAGAAAGATTACGGTAAAAAAATATCAAATATATTAAAGATTACATGTTTATAAGAAGTAAAAGTCTTTGAAAATTACTAAATCAATCTGATTTATGCTTTTTAGTTTAAACTTTCTCTATTTGACGTACTAAATTCTCTATTAACACTTACCGTAAATACTGTATTAATACCCCACCCCCTCGTACAGTCGCGTAGTCGCAAAAGTTTTTTAGTATTTCATTTTTTTCAAAGCGCCCGTACTTTCAAAAAATGCGTCTTTGGTATCAAAAAATAGCTGAAATTCAGGGCTATTTTTTTGATACCTAAACAAACATTGTAGCATAAACCAGTGTCGAGAAAAACTCGTTCAAAGCTAGACTACGCAACACTTCGCACCGTCGTTATGTGGGTGGGGTACTATTACAGTATTTACGGTAATCAATACCCCAAGATAGAGAAGAAATTACCATTTTCGATTTCTTCTCCATTTTTCTATCTTTCTATTTTTTTATTTGATTTGTTATCTACAAAATCAATATCTTTATGTATCCAAAATGATGAATCACTCAGAAAATCATCGATTATTCCCCTTCCTCCGCCTTTTTACCAATCTCTTATCTCTGTCAGCTTAAAAATCCATTTTCAAACCATAAACCCTTTCCAAGTGTTCCCAATTGAATGATTTTATTGTAACAGTTTTCTTTTTTACTTTCTTTTTCATTCTATATTTTCCATTTTCCTTATTTCTGCAATTTTTCCAGTCTTTTCCAGTGAAATCGCAAAAATAGCCCGTGGACGGCCGAAAGAAAAGCAAAGACTGGAGGGGTCTAATATGGGATATTATTATCAAAAACAGGTATTATTATTAAAGAAATAAGTTGAAAATTTGTCAGTTCTTCTAGCTTATTTCGAATTATAAAGCTTTTTACATTAGTTCCAGTGAATTCTATAAGGAAGCTACTTATCGAACTCTTTCACTGATTCTTTTCGAGGTTTCTCATATCTTTTTTTATTGCTTTCTTTGGATTCCAATTACAAGTCTAAGTATTTAGTTTCTAATTGATGTTTATAGTGTTTAAAAGTATAACTAAGGTCTTTTATACAGTCCTTTTGTTGTTATAGTCAGCTATAAAGTGATCAAATCGGTGAGCATCTTGAATCAATCATAAAAAGCAGTTTAAATATGGATATTTGATATTTGATTCTAGAAATTTGATATTAATTATTTCATCTAGATATTTTGTTATCTAGATATTTTATTATTTCAATCACCTCCTTTTTATCAAAGCTAAGCCATTGCCTTTTTATCAAAGCTCAAGTCATTGCTTCAAATCTGTTTCCAAACGCTTCAACAACTTATTTCAATATTTGAGTTGTATTTTAATGGGAATTTTGCTAAAGAAAACCTAGGAAAACAGCTGAATTTTTGAGAGCTATTGAGTAGGATGAAGAGATGGAGAGAGAGAGAGAGACGAGAATGGAAGAGAGGAAGAAAGCTGACTCACACTTCTCTCGTCTGCCTAGCCTCTCCCCCTCCCCCTTCACCCGTCGATGACTCATTTCCCTTTCCCCCTCTCTTCATTCAATTTCCAGTTTTCTTTAATCTTTCCTTGTTTTGTTTTCACCCTTTTTCCGACAAGAAACGAGACAATCAACGCATAACGTCATTCTTTAACTCTCTCAATTTCTCCTTTCTCTCTCCGTTTCCAAAAAAGGAAATCCTTTTTTTGGAAACGGAAAAGAAAACAGAAATTAGCTTTTTTATAACGAAAATAGAAACTAGCTTTTTAAACAAAAAGCATTCTCTCTAAAAAAACTAACTATAATTGGTAAAATTAGTTTTTTAGAGAGAATGCTTTTTTTTTTAAAAAGCTAGTTTCTATTTTCGTTATAAAAAAGCTAATTTCTAACTATAATTGGTAAGATTATAATAATAAGCTTTTAAAGAGAAATTAAACTCTAGAAGTCAATTCTGGGATCGGGGAAATTGGGAATTAAAAGAATCTCGGAATCAAAAGGATTCTTCTTAAAAACTATCAACAAGTCCCTTTGTTATGAAAGTTTAAATTTACGAGAATTCCTTTTTTTTCCTTCAAATCAAATCAAATCAAGTCTTCAATTAAACCAAAGAAAACATTTGAAAACATTCAGACAACTAGAATCTAACCTTTCAAACAACTAGAATCTAATCTAACCTTATTTCACTTTTTTTTGTTTCAGAATTCAAAATATCGAAACCAATTAGATCTAAAAAAATATTAATTTCCGCTGAGTTTACCAGAATAAAATAAAAATAGAATTAAATATATTAGTCTTTTTTTAAAGCCATGAACCAAACTTGAAAATAATCAAGAAAATTTGTTTTTCTATTTGACCATTTCCATGGTAAAGCTTTACAATAGACTTTGAACTTAAAGAATGTCTTTTACCGTATTCCTGCCATATTTTCATTGGTAAAGATAGTGAATTTGTCTTCATATTTTTTCCTAGCCCAATTTCCGGCAAAGGGTTTCGCAATGAACGAAAAGATTGGCCTAAAGAGTGTCCCTTCCACCGTACTCCCCGCCATATCTCTATGGGGAACATCGATCGGTGAAAAGAGAAAAGAGGCCAAAGAAACCTCTTCTTCTTTTTGTCTCTTTTCCATTCTTGATCCTTTTTTTTCCATTTGGGATCTCGTGAGAGGTGGAAAAGGTCCCTTTTCCCCTCCTCTCCCCATATTCTATTTGAAACTTCTCCATCTCTCCCTCCTTTTATTTTTCCCCGGCAATTAACTGCCTCCCCCCAATAATTTGTAGATATTTTCTTCCTGATTTTTCCTCTATATTCTAATCAATTTCGTAATCGAATAGGAGCCGATTATTATATTTTTTGTCGAGAGAAAATGGTGAGTAAAAAGGTGATCGCCAAAGTTCCTAGTTGAAATTGGCAAATTTCGTTTTACGTTAAAAATATAGTCTTATCTATTAGGTTGTCCAGTTATAAATGCGCGTTTTTGACGGCTTATTCCAAATATTTCTGCAAGTTCACGTGTAGTTTGTCGAGGATCAATTTCAATTGCCTGTTTAAGTACTGCCTTATCGATCGTAGGAGGCCGTTGGTGGTGGTCCTCATCTTCTAAAGATTCATTTCCTTCTCGAAATTGTTGAAACCATCGCCGACACTGGCTTTCCGAAATAGCATCTTCCAAAATACTTTCCAAAGGCCTCGATGAGATTCAGCTATATTTTTGCCCAATTTGAAGTCATACCAAAGACTGGCACGCAGACGAAATTTCGTGTCGTTCACAGAAATTAAATCTAAACACAGAAATTAAATCAAAAATTGGTTTGACGTCAAAAACACGAAAAGTTGTAATAAAATAAGAAATCCTGAACAGCATATAGAAATCCTGAGCATATAGAGAATTGGGTTTGATAAACTTGTAAAGCTCTAAGGAATGCTATTCAAGTTGTTCAAGAGCAGGTGTGCATTCATAACTGGACAACCTAATGGCTCTTTTAAAGCTTTTTAAAACCTTTATATTTTTGATAAAAGTTTAAGGAAATTTACTGATAGCGTTATTGTTCATAAATAGCATTAATGAGTTATCAAAAATGAAAAATGGGAAATTAAATAGCAATGCTCTTTTTGTTTAGCTTTTAATCGACGTCATTTGATCTAAATTTAAAATTCAAACAAAACGAGTTTAATCAAGCAACAATTGAAAATCAAGTCAACAATTGAATAAATTATAAAACCAAGTAATCATTTTATTTTAGCCGGAAATGGAAGACGAAGATTACGATAAAAAGCTGAAGAGAAGACAGAGAAATAAAGAAGCGGCGGCGAGATGTAGGCAAAGGAGATTGGAATTGATGCAGACATTGCAAGATGTGAGTCCAAATGGAAAGCACATATGAAATGAAAGACTTTAATGCTAGAAATTTAGTTTAACTTGGCTTAACTTAAATATTCTGATAGAAGCCCCCTATAGGAGGGTCGTGTAGTCTAACTAAGTCTAGTAATTTTACTCTCCAAACAAACGCTCATATCTCAACACCAGTACTATTGTTTCTGCACACTTTAGTATCAAATTAAAGTAGAGAAGATGGGCGATTTTTTAAGACATAACACAGATTTCTAGCATTAACCTGAAATTAGAACAAAATGATTGAAAAATGATGAAAAATCGGCTTTTTTTGCCTCAATATTTCTGAGAATGATCTTTTCCAAAACGATCTTTTCCAATATCAATGATCTTTTCCAAAACGATCCTTCATTTCCAGCAAGTCGACAAGCAAAGGGATGACAATCGAAAGAAAGATGTTCAAATTAAAGATCTCCGAAATCAAGTGAGGAAATATTATTTTTAATTAATATTTAATTTTAATCAATACCCTAGCTTTCTGTTGTTTTTTTTCTTTCTCAAAACCCAATCTTTTAGATCAACGATCTGCACCGTTTCCTTCAGAATCATGATTGCAAGATGAGCCCTGAGCAGCGACAGGCACACATGAACATTTCGATTCCGAACACGTCACAGGTGAGTATAATTTGAAGCAATGAATTTGAATAATAGTAAATAATAATTAATTTGAATAGCAGTATAATAAGGAAGTAATAAGAGTAAGTAAAGTAAAGTAAAGAAAGAAAGAAAGGTAATGATAAAGAAAGATTTCCGGAAAGGGGATTGAACCCTCGACCTTTTCGCTTTCCTCTGAGCTTTAGCTATTTGGTGCCTTGTTGCTTTAGCTATTTGGTACCAAGAGACTCAAACCACTAAGCTATTTGGTACCTTGTTGCCAGCGAAGAAAGAGGAAATACAAGGGGGAATAGAAAGAAAGAAAGATGAATTCTTGCACTTTGTGCTAGCAAACGCACGCTCTGGCAGACTTAATGGCATCCGAGTATACCAGAAAGCGTTTGCAACAACGCAATTACTCCATTATTGTCTGTTATTAAATAGCCTAAACAAATTCTTTTTAACCTTTCTTTTTAACCATTCTATTTTCAGAACATTCCCCCACCAAGCTCAAGCCCTCAAACGCATCCCATTCAATCAACCGCCGTCTCCACAAATGCTTTAAGCAACGCTCATTCTGGTGGCCCACTTCTGCCACCACAAACGCACATGACACAACCAATGAGTGAGTTTTTTAGAATTCCTGAAATCTAATAACAATTCCTGAGTTAAACAAGTTAAACAAACTAAACAATTCCTCTTTAGAAGCACGAAACATTAGCACAAAAGGTAATTTCTCTCTTCTTTTTCGATATCGTCGTACTCAAAGCTCAATATTGTTTCGTGATTTGTGGTTGTTGCAGTGAAATCTAGAGAATATTCTAATTTCTTGTAAAATATTTCCATTTCAGTTCCATCATACGGTGCATCACTTCAATTGGTTTCATCTGATCGGAAACGGCCGCTTCCACATGCTGATGTCTTTGCGGCAAAGGTTTGTCAGAAAAAGAAATGATTTAGTTGTGTTTTCAAGAGTTTTTTCAACGCATAACAGTTCGAAAACTATTAAGAATGCTAAGAATTCCAAATTTACAACTTTATCTCACAAAGAAAGGCCAAAGGTTTCGATTTTCAAAATACCCGTTTCCTTGTCTGTTCTTCGAAAAAAGAGACATTTTTTGAAAAAAAGAAAGAATTTAAACTTAGCTTCAGCTTAACTTAGCTTAGTTTAGCTTTAGCTTCAGCTTAGCTTAGCTTAGCTTAGCTTAGCTTCAACTTAGCTTAGCTTCAGGCTCAGGTGGCCAAATCTATGTCATTCGAAGCAGAATTACACGCTTATTCTGAATATGGACTTAGTTTTTGCTGAATGAGAGACCGGCAAGAGTTTTAAACACTATTTATCTCATATTCAGTCTACTTGATCCAGTTGCTCTTTCTTGACAGTTGACAGTTGACTTCACAGTTGATTTATTGGTCTTACCACTTTATCAACTCTGTTCCTACTAATTTTTACTTTTTTTAAGATTTAAAGATTTAAGAAGATTTCTACTTGATCACCAATTGATCAGCTTATTAATCTCTAAATTTTCAGTTGCCAAAACCCGAACAAACACTCGCCCAATTGAACATGAACGGAACAGAGGATTTGGCTCGACCCGATCGACTCTTCGATATGCCTTCAACAAACGCATCCGTTAGTTTCTTTGCAAAGCATTTATCAGGAAACACTCAGTATCAGGAAATCTTAATTATTCATCTTAATTATTTAGTTTTTTCTACAGGTTGGCTCGAGTTCGTCAACGGTTTTGGTGACTCCATCGCAGGGTCTCGGCTCGACTCCATATCAACCAAATAATTCCCTCTCCGGTATCACATTTGGGAATATTCCCTACACTCGTGAGTTTTCATCTAAATAGCACAAAAATATGCTAAAATTTGTGAAGTCAGTTGGTTAATCTAACTAGTTTAAAGGGATTCAGTTGGCATATTGTTGTATACGCACCGCAAATACTGTAATAGTATTTGAATTTTAAAATTGTTGCGTCGGCGATCAAGAAAACCAAATCTTTGGTTTGACCTGCGAAATCATAAAAAGAACAAAACTTTTCATCAAGATTAAAGGGGGTTAAGAAACTACGTAGTTAGGGGGTGGCCCCAGATGATGTGATACGGACTGTATATAAAATTTGAGTCAACAGTGGACATCACTAGAGAAACAAATTATCGTAATTCTTCTAATAAAAGACGCATAAAAATGATAAAACCCCGCCCACTCAGCTGAGAGCTAAAAAGTTGCACCAAATCGCGAGTTTTCAAAGTAAAATCTCTGAAACTTTGCCACAACATGCGCATTCTATAGCTATAGAATCAAACCAAATTGAATTCCCTTCACTTATCATTGATCTCTGAAAGAAAATTTACGCATCATTTTATTTCAAAGTTCTGGCTAGTCTCTGCACGTAGCCCCGTGAATAAAACTTTTCGAACACACTCTAATTTTAACCAAAAAAACCCATTCCCGAGCAACAGCAACAAGTCTTTCAATGAAAAAAATCAAATTTCAGCTGGCGCTTCGAATCTCTTGGACGGTCCAACGGGCATCACTCCGATAACCAGCAATCCCGTGCCAATTTTCGAGTCTCGAATCACCGGCGATGTTCGCGGCGATTTGGAGAGTCTGTAAATGATCAAAAATGAAATCAGTTATTCACAAATTTCTCAAGAAAGTTCTTTTCCACATTCCCCCGCTCCATTTTCATCATCGTTTCGCCCCCATTTCTTTGCGAGGTCAAAATTTTTCCAAAAGGCAGCCTTTCCCTTGAAAAGAAACGTCTCTGCACGTAGCCCCGTGGTTCATCGTTCATTGTGATTTCTTTTTCATTGTTTTTTCTACTTTTCAAAATGATTAGCAATATTTTAGCACGATTTCCTTTTCCTTTTCCTTTTCTTCCAGATTCTGCACTCAGCTTTAGTTCCCCTCTTTTATTCTTTGACTTTCTGGTTCCAATATGGTTCAAATATGGTTCCAATATGGTCGTTTTATTATTTTGCTTCCAAAAATATCAACTCCACACTGGTTCCCCTGTTAAAATCAAGTATTTTGCGTGTTTTTGTAAATTTTCAGTTTTTTGTCATTATTTTCCGATTAGCTTTTCCATTACAGGATCCAAAGCCATCGCTTTTCTCAACACAAACCAACACTTTTCTCAATTCCCCTCTCTTTCCTCACAAATCAAATAATTTTCAGTTGTATGCAATATATTTTATTGATCCACCAATTCCTCCTCTTTCTTGTCAACTACTTATCATTTTTTTTATAGTCGAATTGAAAAAAATTCACTCGAAATTCATTTCTTTTATGCAAAGTGTGCACAGAGTTGTGATTTCTCTCTTTTCTTCAAAAATAAAGTGATTTTGAAAGCATTTAATAAAATTCAAAAGAAAGAAATGATCTTTTACATCATTACTTTAGCATAGTAGGCTGTTCGACTTTCTCGATACAGCTCAATGCCTCAATTTTGAACAAAATGATAGGCTCCTTTGTGATTTGTACTCCAAACAGTGAGAAAATAGTTTATTTAGTTTATTTAATTTATTTAATTTATTTAAGTTAGTTAACTTATCTAAAGAACTATTTGTTCTATGTATATAGTCAATGATCGGCTTAACATCCTCCGCATCCACAGCAGTCACATCCACAGCAATCACAACAGCCACAGCCTCCGCATCCACAACACCCACCGCCACATCCGCCACATCCGCAACAACCTGAAATCGGATTTTGGATTAGAAAAAAGATTTTTTAAAAGAATTTGAAATGCTAAATGCTTATAGTTAGATCCTGTTGTTAGTTGAATTCATTAACTGGGTCGGATTCCAACTGGGTATTAGTTTCAAAGTTTTGTGCAAGGTTTGCCAGCTTCAGCTATGAGTAAACCTTCAAAAGAAACCTTCAAAAGATACGTTTTCTCTAATAGTAGTGCCCGGGCCGAGTTGATGACTATTTTAAGTTCTCAAGTTCTTCACAGAAGCCCAACACTCTAATCCCCCGCAAGATCTCATCGTCAGCCAGCTACATTTTCCGATCTCACATCGATAGGTTCTGGTAAGCAGTTTTCGAGATTTCAAGCAATTTAGGCGAAGCTTAGGGCGTACTACTATTAGGGAGAATATGGTATTCGAAAGGATCAGAAAACCCTCAAAAGATCCTTACCGCATCCACCTCCGCATCCACAGCAGCCACATCCACCACCACCGCAGCAACAACACGGACAGCACGAGCACGGGGCACACGTGGGACAAGTGCAGCAACAACTAGGATTTAGAAAAATGGCCAACATTCAGCTTTTTCAGAAACGCTCAACTATTTTCACTCACCCACAACACCCGCATCCTCCACACCCGCATCCTCCACACCCACAGCATCCGCAACCACCGCATCCACAGCAACACGGGCAACACGAGCACGGGGCACATGTGGGGCAGGTGCAGCTGGAAATTTTTGATTATAAAGGTTTTTGTTCAATATCGTTTTCACTGTAGAAAAAGTATTCTCTATTACCAGCATCCACAACATCCACATCCGCCACATCCGCAACAACCGCACCCACCACAACCACAGCAACCGCATCCACCGCATCCGCAACATCCACCTGAATGAATAGGAATCAATCGCTCATCCAAATCACAATGATACGTAGTTTCTGATTTCGAATTTGATTCAAAAGTTCATTTCGGAAATTTCCTTTTCCATTTACTCACATTGGCGTTTCTCGCGATCCGCATCATCTCCATCAATGACGGTCTCTTCTGCACTCTCTTTCTCAACATCGGGCTCACTGATCTCACTGTGAGTATCACCCTGAAATTTAAATCAAAATAATTCTTCAAGAGTACGGTATTCTTTCATTTTGACAAAAGAAAAAAGATTTGGCACAAACAAGTATCATACACTCAATCATTACAGTAGTCAATCATCTACTAGATATAAAAGAGCAGTGTCTGTCCGTCTGTCTGTACAGACATTTTCTCGACCGCGTTTTGATCAATAAAACTCCTTTAGAAAACCCTAGAATATATTATAATGTGCCATTTAAAATTAAAAATTGAAAATCCAAGACTGAGTGGCACTACGGGGGTCGAACCCAAGCTGTATGGTCCCTAGGCAAGCACGCTCCCGATTGGGCCACGGCGACAAAGGACCTGGCCAGAAAAACCCGCAGTTAAGCAAAAAAAAATCCGCCGTTAAGCGGGTTTTTCGGCTAGTCTGTAATAGATCCCAAATCTAATACTGGGGCTTGAGTGCTCTAGACCGATTCAGTCAGTTTAGAAAAGTATCAACTTTTTGTTGACCGTTTCTACTACCGATGCATAGTCCCATTTGGCTTCGAAACTCTTTCTCACCTCAACGATCACCAATTTCTCCTCATTGGCTTTTGCTTGTCCATGATCGTGTTGATTTCCCTCGAAATTGTTGATCTTTATTTCTCCCGGACTCCTCAGCACACCCGCATCGATTTGTGTGACCAAGATTAGGAAGAACAAGGGAATGAGTGAAAGAATGAATCTCTTCATCTTTTTGAAAGACCGTCAGGAGGTTGAAAATAAGTGCCAATTCATCCCAACAGCTCCCTTAAATACCTAAAATATCGCATATTTTTCGTGTTTTCTTGTTTGTTCACCGATAAACAATGCATAATTTTGTAGGCACAAAAATTTTACGTCACAATATGGCTTCGATAAATAACTCTAGAAAAAAAGCAATGTTGATTTTTCGTTTTTTACATTGTTTGTTTTTTTCCTTCAGCAAGATGCGTTTTGCATTTCGTTTTTGCATCTAAAAGACCATGAACTGTTTATTCAAAGACATCATTTCCCAGTAAAACACAAAAGTCGATCACAAAGCGATCGTACTTCTCCTTGACGTCTTTGGCTTGACCAAAAAATTCCTTTCGTTATGCTACATGATGGGTAAAATAGTTTTTTAAAAAAGTTAATATTTCATAGATAAAATTAGCGTTCATGTAGCCAAGAATGCAAGGAATTTTTTGGTATAAAACTTGAACCGACTTGGTTTTTTGGATTGTTGAGAAATTTGACGGCGCGGTTTTAACTACATCCCCAATTTTTCAATTTCCAGTCCTCATTTTTTTGTAAATTGTCAGAGTGGATCTTATCTTTCATCGAGGATTTTTCTTTTCTCATTTGGAAAATTATTTATCCTTTGAAATATATAAAAAGCACATTAAATAAACTCTGTCAACAAAATATATCACATAAAGCAAACAAGACCCTCTAAGCAATCGTATTGCGAAAAACAAATTGCAAACCTACTACAACAAGAAAAATCGATCTAATAAAAATAAAGCTGAACAAACTATACATTTTATACAACTACTCAACGTTAGAAAAACTAAACTCCTAAGCTTTCAAGCAAGGCACTTTGTCGGAGAAGAAAAGATAATACTCGTAAAAATAAATGCGAGAAATGTCTATAAAGAAACGAAATCTGTTAATAAACTTCTGAAAGTATGATTGAGCTTCTTTGAATGTGAGGTCATAATGAGACCGGACGACGAATTTTGAAACCTGAAATACTAAGTAGAAGATCAAGTAAATGGAAAAAAACCTCAATCAACGAGTCGGCCCTATTTGCGGTTCCCAAAATGTACTCTATCCCTCGCAATAAGTCGTTAGTTTTGAAAATCAACAACATTTCGCGAGGCACACGAGCGAGAACCTAATATTAAAAATGGTTATGTAATAGTGCAATGATCATCACCTCACTGATCTGTGGGATCAAAGTTATCGCATAGGCCCGAAGTTCTTGCCGCTAAACAGGAAAGTTTGGTTTCAAAATTGAATAAAACCTCTTGTTCATCTTTTTTCGATTTTCGAATCCCCTGAGTCACCTAAAATTACTTCTTTACAAAAGACAAGGAAAATAATAACGACAAACAACGGCAAAACACTTACACTTTTCCACGATCTTTGCGTTACCATACATGCCAGCAGTCCGTACATTTCGCCAACGCCAAGTTCTTCGGCTACTCGCTAAAATCGTCTTTGTTTAAAGCCTAAATAATGAACGTACCTTGATTTCCATTGTGTCCGCGTTCAGTAGAGCCATCCACAAATCGGAGTAAATCCTTCGAAACCGATCGTTCACATCCTTAACAATAAAAAGTTATCATATGCAAAAAATGCGCTACCAAATAAAGCCCATGATCAAGAAGCACAATTTCTGTATTGCCATTTGGTAGACGATTGATGAGAATATTTCCTGGGTGAGGATCGCAGTGTACTCTTCCATCCAAGAAAATCATTTGACAGACCAATCGTCCTAATCGACGACAAACCTGAGACAAAACAAAATTAATTAACTCAAAACAAATTTTTTGATGCTACCTCATGCTTATCAATTTTCATTTTGTCCAGCCATTCACGATCATTAATTTGATGTCCCTCACAAAACTCCATTGTCAGCATTTGCTTTGTCGAAAGATCATAATGAATTTTCGGAATCTAAAACATCAACATAGAAGTTAATAAAAAATAATTATTACCTTCAAGAATTTCAGCCTAGCATATCTTTCTCGAGCCGCATCCGCATTCTTGCCTTCATTAAGAAAGTCCATTTCCTAAAAGAATAGTTTACACCAAACATCGGTAAATCGACCTACAATTGGCAGATTCTTCTTTACTTCTTTGACAAGCCATTTCAGCTTGAATTCTGGCAGTAGGAAATGAGCAACGTTGACAAGGAACTAAAAAAGAATATTGAGCAAAGCAGTTTTTGCTTTGCTTTGAGGCGCCTAATTTTTGCTTTATTAGCACAGTAGTGTATTTTTTTTATAACTATACTAACCTCCATCGTTACAATATCAGTTCGCGCATTCTTTTGAAGGCGCTTATGTTGCACTTTACAAGCCACCAATTCTCCTGTATCCCGTCTTTTTGCAATATGAACCTAGATTTTCTTTTGACTTGATTTATCAAAACTACAAACTTGTGCTAAACTTGCTGCTCCAATAGGTGCTTCTGTAAAATCAGTAAAATGGTCTTCTAACTGCAAAAAAATCATATAATATTACTAAAAGAGTACTAACATTGCCACCAAGCTCACGTTCGACAACAAATTTGACGTCCTCAAAAGATGATTTTGGCGCCTGGCTCAACAAAACAGAAAGAGTCCTCGTGTATTCAAGTGGCACAAGATATTCAAGTGTTGCGATGTGTTGGCCAACCTTAAAAAGTAAATAAACTTTCAATATATTGTATTATATTTCACTAAACCAACACTAAAAGTTACCTTGATAAACAAACCGCCATTAGAGCATGCTAGATCCAATAATCGATGTGCACTTCTTAAATGTACCTAAAAGAAAAAAATGCATTGCATTTACAAAAAAACAAACGGCTTTTAGACTCGACATAAATTCTTCTGAAGTTTCATTTTTGAATCTCTTGAAGAATATTTTGTAGTCTGCTATGATGCAAGAAACCTGAACATTTAACAGTAACTTAAACGCATAAAAAGCTTACATGTCCGGCTGCTCTTCCGAATCTTATTGCACCAATGTGCTTCAAATCATCAATACATTCTGCCGATCGAGCTACCCCAACCACACTAGCAATTCCGACAGCAGAACTAAATTTGATGTTTTATGTTTTGCTTTTAGAGTGGTTTTTTTAAGAAACTGCTGTAAATACACTACATCAGGTAAATGCTTTTATTTTATAAAAATGTACGTACCCTGCCGCCACAGCTAGTTTCCTCCTAAGTGTCCATCTTATCGCTTTTAATGCAGTAGATGTAGAAGCTGCTCGCATTTCTTAATGCTTTTAATGGAAAAACATGTCTAGCCCAAAAATAAACAACAAAACAAACTACAAAGTCTTTCAAAAGAGTGGCAACACACCTTGATAGCAGAGAAAAGTCAGGTCAACGACGTCCAGTGTAATGTTTTGAAACAAAGAAAATGTTTATCAATTTTATCACATGTCAATTTGAATCATTTATACAGAAAATCACAAATCGCTAAAAGTAAACATCTTTAATCATTCACAAAAATATTTAGCAAGTCGATTCAGCTTCATTAGGCTCCATTTGCAGTTTATCAATTTGATCGTGGGCATTCTTGTAGTCTATGACAAATTGGTGCTCGGGCGCTTGCACCTAATCATTAAGTTTATACTAAGCAGAAAAGAAAAAGAACTTGAAGTTGCTTCAAGAGATGGCGCGTAGAGTTATTTTGCGTTGGAAGTCTTGATTGAGATGCCGAAACAGTAAGCAGAGCATTAGCTTCGACTGATTGAGGATCCATAGAAAGCGCTGTCTAAATTTATCTTAAATCAAAAAAACTTTTGAATGAGCAACCTGAAGCACAGTTTCAGCTTCTTCAGTTTGTCCCATCGAAATAAGTGAAGCCGCCTTGCCGATCAGAAGTGAAACAGAGTTTCCATAACGTTGGACCAAATCAGAGTAAAGTTTTAATGCCCCTGTTTCTTTGTCCTAAATTACCAAATGGATTAAAATTACTATTTTTCAAAAAACCGAATAAGCAGCAGTATCCTGTCCAATTGCCAGTGCAAGCCAGCCCTTTGCCTGTTGAAAAAGCGGATGAAATTCGTAGTCTTGCAAGACATCTTTTAGAAGAGCTCTAAAATATTGTCAAATTTTTTAGTCAAAACATACTAACTCAGCCTTGTCAAAGCGATTCATTAAAATATAGGCATGTACCGAAAGTGCAATAAGCTAAAAAATATGGCGTCGTTTAATTATAGAATAAAAGATGACCTCGATATTTTTGTCTTCGTACGTGATACGAAGTGCCTCTTCTGGTCTCTAAGTCTCGTAGTTTTATGAGAAACTCATGTCAAACCTCAGCATCAAGCATTATTGTAGCATATATGGCCTTTTCCTTTTCCGACCATTTATTTTTCGTACTAACGTACTCATGATAGATTTCTTCGCTAAAACAAAAGTCATCTGAACACACTGTTAGTAACTCTCACGCAGTCCTTTTCCCAGCATGAAATTCAGCGAGACGAAGCAAAGGTTGAATTAGACCATGTGCAGCTTGACCTTCAAAGTTAGCTAAGATTACCTAAAGCCTATTAGCAAAATACAGTAAATTATAAGATACGTTGTATTTCTTTTGTGCGGCCATTGATCGATAAATCCAATAATCACGAATTCTTTTCCCCCCTTCACTCTTCACCGAGAGGCGCTAAAGTCAAATATTTAAGGTTTATATTTTTGAGAACTTGAGCGTCGTTGATACATTGCTGGTAGTTTCCCAAATAGAAATGCAGCCGAACATCATGGAAACAATCCTCGGCCATCCCGAATAAAATCTAACTTCAACTACAGTTAGGAACACTGCCCGCACAAAATTTTAAGAATGTACGTCTGGTAGATTCACCATAGCTAATGGTTATTCTGCGTAAACTTTCGACTTTTAAATCTTCAAAAACAATTTATTGAAAAATAAAGAACTATTGCAAACAAAGTAAGATTGGCTTAATGAACATTTAATGAAAGATCAACAATAACAATCGATCTAGGCTTTCTGGATTTGGATTGGAACTTTCTTGATGCCAGCAGAGCGTTCCTTTTCGTAGCGAACGGTGAGGTGACCGTCTCGCGAAAGTTCACTCTTCACCTAAAAATGCAAATACAGTTTTGAGAGGCTTAACAAATTCATTTACCTCTTCAGCTCTGACAGTTGTTGGAAGTCTAAACTTGCGCACAAACGAACGCGCGATCTGTAAGAGACAAATTCATTTACAACAAGTAACCAAGTACCGTTCCAAATTTGTCATCCTTTTCATCGTGTTTAGCCTCAATAACAAGATCGTTATCAATGATATTCACCTAAAAAATGAATTTATCTATTTTTACGCATAAAACAACTTTCAGCTCATCAGGCTCAAATTGAGAAACATCGATGGTGAACTTGAACTCCACCTCATTATCCACAATCTATAAAAATATTACAAAACTAGAGATATACGCGTCAAATACCTCATTGACCCCTTCACCAAGGCGATGTCCGCTAAACATTGAAGTGTCAGCCCAATAAGGACGAACAGCTACACGATCGAAATCCTCGTCGAAGAAAGTGTTTCTAAAAATAAAAAATAAACTGTGGTAGTCGCGTCAATATTGTAGTACTTAATTAATCTATTTAAAGCAAACCTTCCAAAATTGGTAAATGGCGAAAAGCCTGGAAGACGCTGACGGCGATCCATTTGACCTTGTGCTGCTTGGCTTGGAGCGGACTTTGAAGTCGTCAAATCAGTGGTAGGGACGGTTGCAGAAGCAGTCCCTAAATCAGCAAAATAAAAAATTTGATCATATGCAAAGAGGGTTAGTGAGTCAGAAAAAAAATGAGTAGTAGGTAGTTGGGAAAGCAGTGAAAAGCTGAGTGAGTTGAAAAAGCGCAATATTTGTCAAAGTAATTAGAGAGGACGAAAATGCGTGGGTTTGAAAAAAACTGACCCTGGTTGACGATTCCATCCTTTTCCTCGTAAAAGTGGCGATACGAATGCTTGATAGGACGAGACATCTAAAAGAAAAATAATGAGTACAAGTATTAGCACCAAATAAAGTAATAGAAAAGAGAAGGAGAAGCTTGACGATTGATGAAAAAACTAGCTAAGAACTTTGAAATTTGACCTTTTTATCACTTCTATATTTCTTAAAAGAATTTGAAGGTTCAAAAGTGTTAAACATTAACTTTCTACGAAAATTTAATTAAGTACAAAAATTTTTGAAAAACGTGCCGTGTGAAAATGATTTCCCGACAAATCAATTCTTCTGTGTTTTCTTGCATTTTATAGTGGTGTCAGACTGTAGCGCCAAAAACTTTATTTCCACGTTTTAGAAATCACTATAATCTGACTTCTAGCTCACTCGTAGTTGAAGTTTTCGAAGATCGTAACTTATTATTGCTCAGTAAAAGGTGCTGTTTTCGAACAATATCCGAGTTTGACAGATTTTGCAATGTTCTGGAATGATATGAAGAGTCGGTGAGCACGAATTTCGTGAACGTGTTCCTCAACTCGCGTTGTACCTAAAATTTCTTCGTATTTGTTGATTTCTCTTCAAAAACCTCTTGATTGTTGCACAAATAAGTGAAACCATTCGCGCCGGAGTTCACGATTACACAAAGAGCAATGAAAGAAAACCTAGAATTGATTTGTTTGATTGTTGGTTTGGAAAGGCTTCTTTTGAGCTCACCATTCTTTGCTCGATTCTCCGAACCAAACAGGGAAAACACGAAAACACACCCAAGCCAACAAGTAAAAGACGGAAATTGCACAAAATTGCATGGCATACCTAAAACTTTTGTTTTAAATAGGTATTTGTTAAAAATGTGGCTTTAAGGCCTACACAAGAATGAAACTAGAACACAAACAAAGGTGGGTTTACCTAGATTCGCCTAGAGATCTACCCAACTCCATTTGTTCATCTCTAGTGCTACTAGTGCCTATAAGTCCCCTTTCTTTCAATTAGCCACCTGTATTCTTTATATTTCCTTCTCAACGATACAGCTGGTGCCATTGCTGTTGAGAGGTTTCGTCGAGACTTTCGCATATTGATTATGATCTGAAATGTCCCAGATAAATCACTACTACTACTAAATCACTAAATCACTACTGAAAATTTCATACTTTATATATATATTCATACAAAATTTTATACTATTAGTACATTTTTCGAATCTACTTGCGACCTTTTTCCGAGAAAACCAGAAGTCATAAAAATGATTGCCAGAAACGAATTCCCTGTGTGGGAAAATCCCACCATGCAAATTTCAGGGTGCAAATTGCACCCATGGCGCGGTGCATAGCGCGCTCGCCTCAAGCGTACACGATCCGGGTTCGACCCCTTCCAGTGGCCACTTACTTTGCCTTTTTGCAAAAATTTTTTTAAAAGGCACAGCCACATGAAATTTCATTAGACATCCGTTTCCGCGTTTTTTAAAATACTCAAAGGGGACGCGCGCAGTGCGCGCACAGACGAACAGAGATTATTTTTTATATACAGTAGTGATCCTGGGTTGGCGCTTGAAAGTGTGGTAAAACTACCGTACCCTAATTTGCAGGTGTAAAAGAAAGCCCGCAATTTCATTCTTTTTGCGTATTTCTGTACTTGGTGTCCCCCACACTGCCCATTCTAATTCAGTCTTCCAGTAATGATTCTGAAACAACCATGTTTTTTTTTAACTTAACTGAATCAGCAACCTCTAGGTATGTAAAGAAAAATGTTTCTTCATTTTCTGCAAGGAATTCGCCAAGTTTCTTTTTTTAGTTTCATAAAACCATCTTGCAGTGTCGAGTTAATTAAAGTTTGAAGCATTTTCGGACAAAAAATAAAGATATACAGTCGACTCTCCCCATAACGGAACTCTATATAGCGGAAAACTCTACATAACGGAATGGAATTTTGGTCCCGACCGACACTAAGCTATATATAACGGAAAAATTTTTTGGTCCCTTCCATTCCGTTATAGAGAGAGAGAGTCGACTGTAGATGTTAGTTTGTGGGGAACTACTTTCGTAAGATAATTAAAATTGCGCTCCCATGTGTGGATAATGTGCCAAAGAAGTTTCTCCGTTTTGAATGTACCGATTCCTTCAGCAAATCCCTTTTACAAAGTTGTGTTATTACTCATAAGGAATACAAAGAAAACCACATCAGAAATGAAAAGAATGAAATGAAAAGAAGAATGAAGAATGAAGAATGAAGAACAAGAATGAAAGAATGAAATTGCGCACTTTCTTTTATACCTACAAATTAAGAGGAGTACGGTAGTTTTATCACGCTTTAAAGCGCCAACCCAGAATTTTTAAAGAATCCAAATCCCAGTTTCTCATAAAACTCATGGATAAGCCAAAATTGAAGAAAAGTACCCGAAATTGTTTCAAAAATTCTGCAGCAAAATTCTTGTTTAGAGAATCACACCGATATTTTCGAGGCTTTTTGGATTTAAAGTATGAAAATAAATTATTTTACGAATATTTTCTTTTTGCTTATCAAGAGTTCCGACTTTTTTCTTTTAGAGATTTTCTAATTTGACTCACCCAAGAATATGAGATGACGCAAATGAGAGACGATGTATTATTGAGCGGAATATCCATCATATTCGACCAATTTGGTGTATCACCAATCGTCGTGTACGAATATGAGTAAATCGTGTGATCAAAGGAAAATCTGTAAAATGTTGACTTTTGATTTCCTATTTCCCTTTCACTCCGGTCACTTGCGAACTCACTTGCAACAAGGGAAGAAATGTTGAGCCAAAAGAGTTAAAACGAGCGAAATCGGATAGACCAATGAACATAAGATGACAACTCTTGTTGTATTGAATGATCGGCATGAGAAACAAATGACCATCACCCTGAAATTGCAAATCATCAAAACCTTAGTCCCTATATGTGTATCGAATGAAGCTTTTCTAGAATTGCTACGCAAAATTACAGGCTCATATGGCTCATATTCAGTTTCAAAATCTTTTTCAATGCTTCTGGATTCATGAAGAAACTATGGTTGTTTCAAAAGATTTGGAAACTTGTCTCATCAACTTCATTAGAGCTCCAACTACTAACTTCTTTCAATAGCCCTTTCCTAGCATTATCTTACCTATTCAACGCAGTTATCGTTTGATTCAACGAGGTGTGATACCAACAAAACCTGTAATCTTAATGTTCTTTATAAATCAAATATAAAAAAATTACATAAACACTGAAGAGAAGAAAACATTTCCAAACCCGTGACGACCACCAATAAATATAAATTTCTGAAAAGCGTGCTTAATGAAATTGTCTCCATTTTTCAACTCACATTTGCCGTTATACAAGGCATCAAATAGATTGCATGAATCAACAGCTGAATAATATCCACTGCAAGATTTGAGGCAGCTAAAGGAAATATATCACTTTTTGACATCTACTGCCTCTTCTACAGTTTCCGCAACTCACCAATAATATAAATGGGACTCCCTCGTCCTTTCCACAATCTTCCCGCACAAATCGAATAAAGAACCATTGCATTGATGCAAATCTCAATGATACAAATCAGTCCAAATGCAACCCCGATCTCGACATGTTGTAGATCCGTATTAAATATCTCCATTTACACTGAAAATTTATTGTATTAGTATGCTACAAGAATGTTAGAGTTCAGAAAAATAACGAGAATCAAAAATCGTATCGTAGAAGCCTTAATTCCGAGATGATCTTTCGAACAAAAGGCTTAATAGGATCCGGCTTAATAGGTCTAATATTTTCACTGAAATTACAATGGAATCACAATTCACATTTACACTGTAAAGTGGCTTAAATTGACGGTAATTGCATAGCCTTGAAAAACATAATTATAAATAACAATTTGTTGAGAATAAGAATTTATTCTCCAAACTTGATGAACTTTGTGACAAGGTTCGAAATGGGATTAAAGGTCGTGCGAAATGGGATCTTTGATGTAAGGCTTACCGTACTAATTGTAAATCTGTGATCCGTGTCTAATATTTCCACTGAAATGTAAATATGACGACCACCGATAAATATAAATTTCTGAAAATAGTGCTTAATGAAATTGTCTCCATTTTTCTGTATGACTGTATGACCATCTTGCAAACAAACACACTAGCATTTAATTTTAAGAATTGCTACAGTATGCTAGTTTTCGGTAGCGTTTTTGCACAAAATTTCTAAACTTAAAAGCTACAGTACACTGCAAATGCACTAGATTCCAGTAATAAAGTAAAATAAGGAATGTCAAAAAAAAGATTTAAAAGATAGAATGGAATTCAATTGAATTAAATTGGATTGAGAGGGGATTGAATCATCGATACTTTCACAAATATTCAAGTTTAGAATTGAAATTGTAAGGATTTTGAATGGAAATTTCAAAAGGACAGATACTACAGAACAGATACTACAGTACTACCGAGATAAACCTACAATGCAACAAATTAACCGTAAACATTTCATTTGACAAACGCAATTTCCGCTCGATTCAACCATTTCAGAATACACCAAGTACCAGGAAGTGTACCAAAGCACACAGGAAGTGTATTTTTGGTTTACGAGAATAACTTTGAATGGGTTTCATTTCCCATATCTTTTATCGCAAACGTGCCAACGTTCCTAGGGAAATTTTCCTTTTGCCCGACTCATTGAGTCACATCCCGACAGTGGAACGATTTACAAACTCAATTTCTTCCTTAAAAGAGCAAAGATTTTGCGTAGAGAAATGAATCATCATAGAAATATAAAAAAAAATAAATTGTTAAAGAAAGAAATCAAAAAGAAATCAAATAAAGAAAAACATATAAATTGTTTTAAAAGAGATTGGAAAAGGAAATTGGATCATTGGGATCATTGGGAAAGGAAATTGGATCATTGGGAAAGGAAACACCGTGAGTCATGTACTTTGCTTTTTGTACTTTTTGCTTCTCCGACAAACGCACACTTTCTGATACACTCAATCGACATAAAGATAAGCCTTTGAGAAAAGTAAGTAATATTCCAAAAATCACGTTTTTTCAAAAGCACAAAGATTCTGGCATTTAAGGGAATTAAAAAAATATTTGTTTAAGAATCTAAAAAGACTCTGGTTCCAAGTCTGAAATATCTCGAATTTTTCCTCTGGAAGCTCATGTTTCCAAAAAAACATGAGAAAAAGTGTTTGGGGATTTTCGCGTGAATGAATAAATGGAATGACTTCAAAGGTATGTGGCTAAAAAAAGAAAAGTTTAGGTTTAGAAGGGAAATTGGACGTTCAACGGTCAACGGAGATAACTTCTTGTAATGATTACTGTAACTAATGATTTTCGGTTTTGTTTACTGAAACAATTTCGGGTACTTTTCTTCAAATTCTATTCCAAAAAGGAAAAACTTCTAAGCTAAAGAACCACTCAAGTAGATAGTAATTAAATGTGCTCAAGTAAATAGTAAATAGTAATTTTCACAAATCACAATTCAAAGTCGTTTCTCATAAAATCACCTATTCTTTAATTTTTAACCTATAGAAAGGAAATCAACTATTATTGGGTGGTACGGAATGGCAAATTGATGGAATGGATTTGAATGACCAAATTTGAATTTGAAATTGAATGCGATCAACTCTGACAATTTGTGAGGGGTAATTTAAACCACAAAACAAAACTACCTAATTATGAAACTAGGAAGCTTTTGAAGATCATTTTTATGCTTAAAAGTTGCTGCCATCGCTGAGATTTCGATATCAAAATATTAGGTACTTGCAAAAGAAACTGCGGATTATAACCAACATTTGAACAACCCAAAAATCAATAAGAAAATAACTTTATTCCAAAAGATATTTGCCATTATTATCAACTATGTTCTTACATTTTTTTGCGTAGATTTCGGATGTCTGATTCGAAAAATTCGGGGTCCCGCGACGCAAAGTAGTCTTGCACCCAAATTTCGACTTCTTCAGGATTGTTAAACTTTAGATTTGCAAGAGAGTATTGCATAGACAGGAACAAGTGGTAATCTGAGGGAGCAACATCAGGCGAATAGGGCGGAGGGGCACAAGTTTCCAGCCTAATTCTTCTATGGTGTTTTGAGCCAAGTTTGATGTGTGTACCCGGAAATTGTGAGCAAGTAAATGGATTGTCCTTGGATTAACAGTTGTGAAAATAATTAAAATGAATAATCAATAATAATACAATATAGTCTTCCAATACAATTTAAACCGGACCATCACACTTTCAAATAAAACAAACTTTCGTCCTCGGAAGTAATCCGCAGTTTCTTTTGCAAGCACCTAATACATTTAACTTTTTGGGAAATAACTAATCCTACATCGTGAGTCAAAACGAGAATATTTTTAATTGTCAACTGGAAAAACAATAGTGTATTTAGACCGAAATTCATTAAGAACTTTCAACAATTTTAAAAGCTTTGGTCCAAGAGTTTTTTGAAATCAAAAATAATCGAGAAGATTTAGAAGAGAAAATGAATGAAATGTTGGAGAAATCAAGGATTTCCAAAGTATCTATAACCCAAAAACATTCAACATTGATCTTTATTGAAATTTTTAGCGGAAGCGGTAATTCCTGTAGCAATTCTGTAGCAAAAACAAATCTTTTCAGAAAAACTAGTTAGATTTTTGATAAGAAAATATTTTTACAAATAATCATCGAGAGGAATTTGTGACGAACTATTTCTTAGGCTTCTTTTTGTTTTTATTCGTAAAATTATGAAATTAATTTCAGCCAAGTAAGCCTTACAACAAAATCGGATTGAGGTTTTTTTATCGTGAAATAGAGAAATATTAAATTGAATACTAAGTCTTGCACTCTTCATTTCATTATCGAAATGAACGAGTCACAAACCGCCAAATAACAAACGATTTCGTTCACTATAAATGTTTATCGTTGACTTTTTGTCATTTTAAAACTATTTTTAGTATTTTAGAAGAATCTGTGAACTGGTTTTTTTTCAAAATATTGAAAAATAAGTACATAAAGAGAACCGCTAAACGTATTATTCTGAAATTTTGCTTGTAGATCTAACTTTTTGTGCGCTATCTTTTTTATTTTGTCATCAAAATAAGTTTCATTGGAAGCAACGGTCCAAATCGCATCAAACGGATCTTGTCGTTTTTGAACACTCGGCTTCTTGCTAATGAAAAATCTTCAAAATAAAGCTTTTCAGAAACTTTCAAAGGTCATTTGAAAGAAAAATGATAGGGCTATCTAATGAAAAGAACCGTATTTCATTTGGTAGCTTGAGACTTGTTCAATTAGAAAAGAATTTTGGTGAAAGACTCAACCTAATCTATCGAAAAAGCAATCAAATCGAATTATGTGGCAAAACTCGTGAAAAGCGATTGAATTAGTTTTGAAATTTGTAAAGGAAAAGATGTAGATAACAGTATTTCAGCTACTGTTTTCAGTCTAGTTACTGTTTTTAATCTAATAATAAACAAAAAGAGGTAAATGAAATTATTTTTGATTAAAATAATAAACGAAATAACTACAAGAGATGACAAAGATTTCTCTAGGTCATGTGCACTTGAAAAATAAGAAAATGTCATAATGCAAAAACTTTGCTTCAAAAGAAATTTTCATCAAATTTTTATTAGATAAATCCAGTGAGAGTTTTGCCAAGAGAATTGTTTATAAATGGAATTTACTTTTTATTTCAAAAACTTGTAGGCGGCCATCAATTTCCTTCATAAAGTTCACGCAGCAACGATTTTCAAAAACATTTTTTTGAATTATGTCCGATGATGTAGTTTTTTTCAGTTACTGTTTTCAGTCTAGCTATTGTTTTCAATCTAGTTACTGTTTTTAAGCTTCAATTATCTACTTAACCCTTACTTTGACCAGGATCAAACCAGAAGTTAAGCTAAAAATAAACAGAACTGTTGATATTTCTCTAAATGTACAGATAAGCCTTGTCTATGTCTATAAAGCCAAATTCCTAAGAAAAATGACGCCATTTTTTGCACATTAACAACCCAAGCAAACAATTATTGGTTTTTCTCAGAGGTAATGAATGAATGTCAGTTAGAAAGCCGAAATTCACACCCATTTTTAGCCCCATTTCAACGCCATCTCAAAAAAGGACATCACCAAAACGGGAAATTGGCACTTGCAAGAGAAAGAGGAAAAGAAATTCGGAAGAAAGACCCATTTTGTGAGCGATTCTTGGAAAAACATCAAAGGAGAAGAGACATTAGAAGCCATCACATAACAAAAAAAAAAGGATTCAAAAAAGGTGAAGGTGGCTTTTCTTCTGGAAACTTATTTCTCTTTCCCATTTCTTTTCGTTCTTTGAAATTTTTCGAACTCAAAACTTCAGCAAATCATACTGAATTTTGGAGACAACGAACTAATAGGGATGTGCATTGTGAACCTATCTTTGTTCAAGGAATTTTTTCGTAAAAAAGAATCGTGATGACAAGATTGAGAGATCAAAGATCGACAAAAAGTATATCCTTTGATTCTCTGCAAAAAGAAATTAATTTAGAATAGTTTAGAATAGTTTAGAATAGTTTAGAATAGTTTAGAATAGTCCTAACCTTAATTTTTTACCTTAACTTCAAGAGCAACTTTTGTTTCAAGCTTTTTAGCTTCACTTCAAGAGCAACTGGAT